ATATGTGAGTGCAAAATCCAAATATCGTGGTCTTCGTCGATCGTTGCTCGGCGCTGGTGTTCATGTGTGCCGAACTATATACACGTAGTGACACTATGGCCACCGGGTGGTACGAAAAAAAAAACCCACAAAACTTTTAAAAGCACAAAAGTCGTTCGTCTCGATTGTTACAAGTATGATGTGCACGTACAGCCACACGGCACGCAACCGCGGTACGTCTATTAACACTGACGGTGTTATTATGATATTATCGAAACGAATCGATCGACCAGAGATGCGGTCGCGCCGATTGACGGGCGCAACAGCGGCGGCGGTGATATGCGCGTATATTACACGCACAAGACGAGGAGAAAATGCTCCTCGGTACGAGAATAAACACAACAACAATAATGATAAAAGACAGAATGTAACAGAATTAAAAAAAAAAAACCAACACGAGTCGTGTTTGCGATGTGTTAAGTCGAATAATAATGGAACGCGACGATCGACACGTCGGACACGATTCCGACAACAGTGCATGAGCCGCGCGCCACCACCACGAGAATGGGTACCACCGCCGCCGCCTGCGTAGAGAGACCCCTCTCACCACGATAACGCGCCGTAACACTGTGCATCGACATCACAAAGATTATTTTTTTTCTTCTCTTTTAATTCGAACCGAAGACGTCCATTAAAATATCGAACATTACACGACGATAGGGTATAGGTACCTCTGTTTTCTTTGTACAGGTATATACGTATATAGTCGACGCACTCCTATTCACCGCCCACGAAATAATAAATAAATACGACATTATGTGCGTAAGTATATAATATATAAGAGCTATGCGAGTATAGAAATGCACGATGACGAAAATTAACGTTATTTTAATGCGCGGGAGACGTGAAAATCAAAAACCAAATTAAAATCTCTCCCGGTCCTTTTCTTTTAATTACAAATACCTACGATTATTCAGTGGCCAACAATCAAATTCTACAACCTGCAGACCCGGATTGAGTGTTTTTACGAGCCGTAAGCATTTGAGTCATATATACTATAATAGCCTAATTAAATATAGAATAAATATTACACTTGTGTGACAAACTGTGGCGATGGTTATAGAATTTTATTAAGTTAGAGGGAGAGAATAAAATTTAAAATAATAAATACCATTCATAATTTTTACTAAATTAAATTATAACTATTAAGTAAATACATATTTGTTTGTATAATGATATCAATTTGCAATGTAGTCTTTGAAACTCACATCAGTCAACTACTTTGTACTTTTCATCCACACATAAAAAAAATGTTTCTAGCTTTTTAAATTTAAATTTACAAAACTATTTGGATTATAGTCAAGTAATTTCACAAAATTCGGTTTTGATGTTGACAGTTCAGAGGTTTTGTAGATTATATTGCGATAATAAAGATCTTGATACGTCTTTTTAATAGTTTTTAACAGAACTTTCACCTGTACGGTTATTAAACATATAATAGAAAGATACAAACGTAACAATACCTTTCGACATTTTGTAAACTCTCAATTACATTTAATTACTATAGTATCGTCTCTTATGAAAATGTTAAACAAACTACTCTCATTTTTATTTCTGTAGTCGTAATTAAAAATAACGACGTAGGTGAAAACTTGAAAACTGTTTAAATCCAATATAACAATATGGAAATAAACGATTTGGTGATTTAAACTTGCTCACAAACGTAGAACTACGCCGCAAATGACCGGTTAATAAGTTACTGATCAATAGGACTGTGAATTTAATGCACTAAAGAACCTTAAAAAATGCATTAAAAATGTCAAAAAAATGCAATAAAATATGCACTTAAAATGCAAAAAATTCAACATAAAATGCCAAAAATTATAGTATAAAATTCATTTAAAATGGTTTTTAATTGAATAATTATATTAATATTAATATTGGGTACAGGATATTATACATCAGTACATTACATGCATAAAAAGTGGTCATTTAATAAAAAAAATAGTAAAAATGTTGGTTGAATTTGAATTTATTATACTTAATGCTATTCACCTGAAATTTTTTTTAAAAAATTTAGAAAGAAATATCTTACAAATAATTTATGTAGTTATCTCGCAATTGCATGCCACAAAAATAAATTTTTTTTCAAACATTTTTTTCGTCAATCGAACCTGGAAAAAATACTGGAAAATGAACTAAAAAAGGAAAATATGACCTAAAAATGCACAAAAATGACACAAACAATTAAAAATGTCAAAAAATGCAAAATAAAAGTTGCATAAATTATTCGTAGGGACATAATTTAAATTTTGTACTTACAAAGCTACGTTTCACAATCACCAAAAAATATGCTCTTTCCTACAAATTCACAGCCCTACTGATCAATAACAGTCGATCGTTATCGTAAAATACGTATAAATAATATAAAAAGCTAATATACATATTAATACTTTATGTGGTCCGAATTTTTCGAGAGCCGTTAACAATGCATATTATCATTTTGTCTGCAGTAAGTAGATCTGGTCCTGCGGTCATAACTGGCCAGGACCTAAACAGCAAGTCGCCCTAAACCTTTGCAGTTCAATAACCAATATCGAGTCGTGTGCGCGAGCAGAGACACTAAGTCGTAATATTGTGTACACATTGTGTGGCTGCGAGTTCTCCTCGAGCATAATTTGATATTACCGCCGTGCCGCTTGCACAATAACGAAGACAGTGTATAACACATACGTTTATGATAATATGATAATATAATATTGTGTGCACGCTTCGATGTAATAACAATAATTGAATGCGTGAGAAAGGCCTACGGAGAGTCGTCGGGGCAAAAAATGAAACTTGAGCTCGTGGTACAGACACAGCAGCAGCAGCAGCAGCAGCAGCAGCAGCAGCAGACTTCTGCAGACACGTCCACGAGCTGCTGCAATTTTAAATGTAATTTTCTAGAGGTATACCCGATGGCTGCAGCGGTATTCATATTTGGCAAATAATAGCCAATAAATACTATATTCCGTACGGAGTTCCGGTCGTATCTCGTTTATTGCGTGCTGCATGTATATATATGCACTACATACGCCTATATACATTATATTATATACAGTACTGCGATTTACAGCATAATAATAAAAATAATAAGCGTGCGTTTAGAGAAAACGTTGGTATTCGATTAAAATTGCATCGAAAAGAAATCAACGTCAATACAAAACCAATATAGTTCCTTCATGTAATCATGTGCAATATTATGATTCATATCTTGTAGTATTGTAACATAAAATTGAATCTGTTGGTAAATATTATTATACACACATATAGGTAGGTACGTGTAATATGTACGCATTATATTTGTACTGTGACTTATACCTATACATAGGTCTACACACAAATAAAAGAAAACAAATACAATAATAGAGAACAGAAATCCGTATAGTGTTATGCATGTGTTTTTTTAAATTTAAAACCGACAAACGAGTATGATTTGAAAGATAATAAAAAATAAAATAACACAATATATTATTATGTAACATATAACTAATTATTTTAAAGAATGCCCCGGTAAATGTCTGTTACAATGTAGTTTTGCAAATTTACGAAGAAACCTGAAAATCTATAGTTAGCCGTATTTGTAGTCGAAAAATTACGTATCCCTAGGTATACGTATTTTTACTCAATTTTATATTTCTATGCATGTGTAGGCAGTAAGCATTTAGTATATGTTTAACATTTGTATCCCTTTTTCGCGGAGTATTTAGTCTGACAACTTTTTTAGGGTTTTTAAACATCTCTTATTTGTTTGTGTATAATTTTGTAATAATTCAATTATTGCACATAGCTAAACAAATTATTTCTTACAGAATTCACTATATATAATAATTATAATTCTACTGTACGTGTGTATGTCACTGTACTACTCCTAAACGGCTGGACCGATTTGAATGATTTTTCTTTATATGCGTTTGGGTGACGCCCTGGATGGTTTAGATTCACAATTGGACCAGATAGGTCCGACTCGGGGAGTTGCTCAAGAGAGGCTTAGCCCTCTAAAGTCCCTCTTAGTTCCATTTATCCCAGATTAAAATCTCTTGAGACTCAAGGCAACTTTTCCCTTTTTTCTTTCCGTAAAAACTTCATTTGGAATATAACAAAAACAAAAACGAGCCATATCGGTCCAGTCGATTGATTGATGAGCTTATCAACGTACAACTTTTAATTTTCATAATTATTTCGAAGATAATACTAATAATATTAAATACAATTTTGCTTTTAAATTAAACAACTGAATTCATAATAATATATATCCGTTTAATATTTAATGAATATATATAAAACAAATTTGAATGATTTCATAACTTTTAGAAGCTTTAATAAAGCTGTTCATGTTGTCTTTCTCTTATTGTTGTCTATTCCACTTATGTTCTTTTTGTTTCAGGCTTTGCTATAATATTATAATATTGGTACATCTATCTATTTATAGTTTTTAATAAATTTAAATACCCTACAAGTCTACTATTTCTTTAAATAGGCAATAATCAAAAACTCGGTCTGGTAACGACTGTGTGGATGATGCTAGTACATTATTTTTTAACACAAGTACACTAGCTATAGTATTATAATTTTCTCTTCTTTTCTTTGTTTCATAGTTTGTTTTAAAACGTAATATTTTTTACTATAAAAAGTACAAATGAGTAAATAATGACCATCAATAAAAGTTATGCAAACAACATTATGGGTCCTTGGTATATGTGTTATTCGGGGACTTGTCCCCTTGGTCATTACTTAATCTAGGACTGAGTTCCGCCAATGATGAATCATTTAGGAATTAGCTGTTTTGACTAGAAAATAACCACGCGTCTGGAGTGGAGGTAGCTGAAGAATAAATAAAATAGCACTTAACAAACCATTATTTTAATGATAACAACAAAACTCTACAAAATAGTAAATATACATTATAAATTAAAACTTACAAGTTAATATTATAATATCATTTATATAGTACATAAAAAAACAATAATTATCTGTATTTCAAATATAGTACTTTTATATAGGTCATTTGGATATGATGAATCAAATTAATGAAACTAGTAGTTACAATAGTTGGTATACATTAATCGTTATGGTCTGTGATAGAAATTAAAGAGCAGATATAATAACATTTTTATTTTGAATGAGGTCATGTTCATCAAATAGCATAAATAATATACGATTATTATAGGTAGATTGAATTAACACGAAAGATTTTTGAAAAAAAAAAACAATTTATAGTAGTATCAAATATTATTATTTACTACTATATTGTACGTGCGTTATTGTGTGAATAAAATAAGCAATAATAACAATCGAATACATAGAATGATTGCGCATGGCGTTTTCGTTTGGTCAAAATATATATTAAACAAAAAAAAAAACTATGATGTACCTACGATGTCACTTAATTTCTTTACGCTTTAAATCAGGTTAAAGTTATCTTCGGTGCTGGTGGAATCGGAACATTTGTATTTGGCCTGACAATCTCCGTCCGCCCTACCGTCTTCAATGGCTTCTTGCAACTTGATCAACATTTGCTCGTATTTCACGTCTATCGGCACCACACTGAAAACAATACCACATAAAAAAAATAATATATTATACATTTATACAAATTAAAAATTTGCAAGTAGGTATTATACACGTCACATTATAATATTTGTATATAATTACGCATTTATTATTTTCAAGGAAACCATATATAGCAAATACGCAGTAATCATTGCATAGTGATTCCACGATGGGGACCTGAACGTGTTTACATTTTTTTTTTCGTATTGTTATATCAATGTGCAGTTGTACATTTATAATCTATGTAATTAGAATACATATTATTATAGAAAAACAATTGTAATGTATAGCAGCTAGTCGCCAATTGCAGATAATTGACAACCATCAGAACATAAATAATACATTCGATGACAGATGAAGTCAAGAGTGGTTACCACTTAGTAATTACTAACTATTAAACATTTATACGTCGATCAACAAAAATGGTTTATGGATGTGATGGAACATAATTTTTATAGAATTATCTGATGATTTTTGATTGGGAGGTAGGTACCTAATAATATAACATTTTACACTCTATTATACTATATAGTATAGTTTATTATATTTTCAAAAGTATATGACTGATAACTGATAAGTGATGACTCTAAAATTGGTATTAACTAGACTAAGATTTTTATGTAACATAAAATAATAAAATATGCAACGTAAATGTATGTAACTGATTTGATATAATCCATTTCGGAATGATGTAGGTAATCTATTGTCTATGATATAATGAATGAATGAATAAATGAAATAATAAAAATATTATAAAACTGCCATGACATGATTAGCAAATCAATATTTTAAATGCAAATAAAAATTAGTTATCTATCAGGATTTTGAGTAATAGTTAAATGAGTATGGTAACTTAAAATAATCTCCTCTACACCCTTTCCCAAATTATAAAAAGCAAACATTCAACATAAGTCCACTTGTTGCATAAAAACTATGTTTTTGTTGATGTTATTTTATTTAAAACTTTGTTTTAAAATAAAAGTTATTAATTATTAATATCGACAAAAAAATGCCAACGGCACGTAGTGTTTTCCCAAGCGGTCACCCATCCAAGTACTAACTACGCCCGACGTTGCTTAACTTCAGTGATCGGACGAGAACTGGTGTATTCAACGTGGTATGGTCGTTGGCGAGAGTATTGTAGTTTTAAATTGTATTTAAACAAAAAAACCGACCTGCAGAACCACTAAAAAAATGTAAATTATTTCTAATGTGGCCCATCGACAAAGGTAAGGAATCTATACATTTATTTTATTTATAATAGTCATATACAGCCGTTATCTTACGGTTCCAATAATTTCGCAGTTTTCCACACCATTTCGGCGCTTTTCAGGTAGCTCTCCGCCCTGGCCGGTTGCTCACACGCCACTCGGTTCAAGCAGTCGTAACGACCTGACTCATCGGCCACCAAATATCCAAGGAACAACAGCAAATCCGTCTCAGTGACCATGTTCGCCACGAATCCGGTCCCCAAGCCCGCCGCATCCGGTCCGTCCTTCCGACTTTTGCCACCGTTCCCCTGCATGTACGACGCTCCCCAGATGAGTCCCTTGAGAACCAGCATCAGCACCACGTTGGACATGTTTAGGCTGAGCATCTAGACAAACAGATGACGACGGACACTGTATAATAATCGATGATCGTTCACATACCGTCGAGTATGGCAGTGCGGTCGTCGATGAGGGCGGCAGACGAAGGTATACAAGTTGATTCACCAAACATGTTTTCGACACCCGTTATTCTCTTTAATTAAGTATTTATTACAATTTTGATTTTTGGAATTTTTCAGCATAAGTATACTTACCTATAAGTACTAAAAACAATATTTTAAAATTACCTACTTATGTAATTTATGGAGTAACTACGTATGGCAATACAATATATTTTTCAAATAATAACCATTCACGGTTAATTTCTAAAAAAGACATTTGTATCACCACTAGACACTCCTTACACAGTGAAAGAAATATAATTAATTAAAAAATGGTCTTTACTTAATACAAAAATTATAAATTGTATCTCTACTTAAAAATTCCAAAATATCAGAATTTAAACAAATGCATAATTAAAGCATAAAATAGGAGTAAGCATACTCGGTGAATCATTACGTGTATATAATAATACACAATGTAAACAGTATAGGAATATTCATAGACGAGAAAGCGATATAAATTATTTAATATATAATAAATAGCCATAGGTAATGTGTTAGCGTATAATGTTTATAAAAATTAAAAATATCATCATAGTGTGAAGATCAAGTAAAGTACTGATGCGGAAGTTATCGTTCATTACGTTATAAACTACGCTGCAATTGTGTAGGTAGTAGCAGAGAGCCAGTAACGAAAAAGTTTAGATCGTGTGGTCGTAAGAGTTTTGAAATCGAAAGCTTTTAGTAAATTTATCAATGCAGGATAAACCAATTCAGGACGAATGGACGATTTCAATATGAATGAGAGTATTTTTTTGCCAGACCTTAACATCATTTTGTTATTTGTATAATATAGCGCGTGTATAATGTATATTATATATTATGTTTTGAATAATTTAGAGCAATAATGATTGTGCAAAATGTTTTTATTAATTACTGATTTCTAATTAAAAATTATAATACACGTGAATTTATTCGTCAGTATGCCGGTATCGTATAAATTGATTTCAGTATGTTTTTACTTTTCTTTAAATAATTACAAAATGCGTGGATTTCAGAATTGTATAAGTATTTGGCTTTATTTAAATACCGAAATGTATCACGGTGTAATACAATTTTAATTTAGCTCAACGTTCCGTGACCGTCCAAAATTGTAAGGTGAGGTCGTAGGGAATGATAGAATGATAAATTATACGCCCCATCGCAGCTGGTCAACACGATTTTCATTTTTCATAGACTAAAGTAATTTTCAGAGTGGAAACACTGTGAAATGGTTAACAATAAAAAAAAAACTATTGAATCGAATGAAAAACATTTTATGGCTACTTAAATTGTTATTTAATATAGTTTTCGTTTGAAAGGATGTAACTATTTAGTATTTAATGGTCAAATAAGAATTACCGATCGGGCGTTTAGAAAAATTTTCAAAATTAAAATCAAATAAAATGTTAATACAATATATAATATAGTGCTTGCAGGGCTGTATTCATTTTCAATACAGAGAAGTTAAACAGACGTTTTTCGGGCTATACAATATCAATAGTTACTATGATGAATAAATTATGGCTCATTATTAATAACTAATAACGGATAAGTACACAGATAACTATAATAACAATAGAAAACGTAATTTAGTGTTTTAATGAATTTCGCTTTAACGGATTGTACAGTTATTATATAAATATTTAACTCGAAATCTCTAAATGATAATTTAAGAGGTGTGAAAACCAGGGTGCGAAACTGTTGTTAATATATTATACGGTTAAATACGTATAAAGGCAAAGTGCGATTAAGCTAGGACTTTATTGATGTCTGTGTATACTATAGCCATAGCGTGTACTTAAAAAACACATTTGTCAGATAATGTCATTCGGTAGGTACCTCAAGTAGAAGGAAAGAGTTAATGTACTTACTACTTTGTACAGCAGCATAAAGGTAGTCAGCAGGTATTGGCTGTACCAGTGGTGTAGCTAGGATTTTAGGGGCCGTGACATCCTGGGGCCCCTAAAATTTTTAAAATAATCAAAAGATAACTCTTCACTATTTTAAGTTGAAAAGTTTCAACTGTGCAAACCGTTTAATTAATACATCAAGGCTTTATTTTTTCTATCAATATTAAAGCTTAACTCCGTAGACGCTCTTGGTTCATATAGTAGCTAAGTATACTCCTCCGAAAGTTCTTAATTTTGTATTGAAAACGTTCGTTCTGCACTAGCAGAACTGGAAAAATCAAATATAATATTAAAGCTGTGCAAACTGCGCGTAAACTTGATGACGATAAGTGGTTTTTTGTTATAATTAAATCTGCTAGTTCACGTATGGTTGAATCTTATTAATTTCGTTTTTTAGAATTGTTCTCATGCTACAAATGTTTTAAATATATGTTTCATGTATGTCTTTTTGTATATTTTGATTTTTTTTTATCTCACTAATTTAAACTTTGAGTTTGGATAACCGGAGGCCAGTGGAATTCAGTCACCTAGGCCACCCTATATTTACCCTACTGACTTGGTAATGATAGGCTATAGCCCTATGGGTACTTAATAATATACGATTCGCGTTGAGCAATGTGCACATTTTAAAATGTTATACTGTTGTAATAAAGTGAGAATTGTTACGTTGTATAATAAGCTGACAATGGACGAAATACATAGTTCAATTTAATATGGGTTTCTATTATCATAAATGTTAACTTATATATATATATGTATAATGTATATATACAGAAATAATCGTATTTTCACCGTGTATACAAAATATATAATTCATAATATGTAAGCATCGTGTCATTGTGACGAATCCGGTTGTTCATCATCTCGAGTCAAATATTGTAATATATATAGGTACGTGTATGTTTTTATAATGTATATATATGGGTATTTGGTTTGTATGTGTGTGTGTATATTGAAAACGATCACAGTGGTTGAGGCAGCATTATGTAGAAGAGTCAAGAACAATATAAAAATATTTTGTTATTAAATTGATTGAAGACTGAAGTAAAAGTAGAACCAAAATGCGATTTTAGCCATAGAAATAAGATTCTCGAAAAGACTTTGGGCGGGGGTGGGGGGTGTAAAAGTTTTGTTGAATACATAAATGAAATACTAGCCAAAATGTCAGGTAGATCGCATAATCCAAGGGCCATCTTGAAAAACTGACAGGGACTGGACAAGGTGGTCAGGGAAGACATTTTGCAGAAACCCTGGCCGGTGGACCTCTTTTTTACACCCGGATTTATACAGTGCTGGTTCTAAATATACAATATAATAATACGTTGCACACGCGTTATTACCAACAGCGACAAATTAAAATCCCATTTAAAAAATTTTGTTTCATAAATCATTCTACGAGAAAATAACATCAAAATATATAAAAACCAATGTATGTGTTGTTTTGTACTTGACTACTGGTAGCTCCAGTCCTGCTGATCATCGACTTGGCGAAACCCGCAAATATCGACTCCATGTCCAAAACCCTCGGCTGCTGCGAGGCGTCTCTCTTGCGGTCCGCTGCAGCGATTCCAGCGTCTTCGTAGTCCGCGCGATTCTCGCCGATCGCGTGTCCCACCGCTCTGCCCGCCAGCAACAGTAAGCACACTGACGCGACTCCAGTTGGCTGCATGATTCTCTTAAAAAAAAAAAATTATTATTTAACAAGTAACCACACAATACGGACAAGTCACTGGAGTAAGAGATTTGTTTGCAGCAAACACGGATGACGTATTCCGGTCGACACTCACCGGTTTCAAGGAACACGAATACACCCGTAACTATCGATGATGTGCTCAAGTCTTGTGGACGGACGACGGTAATGTCGGTATATAGTGACTCGATGTTGTGTTGGATTGTCTTCGGCGTGGTAAATGACAGGTACAGACGGTCGTACGGCCGATTTTGTAATGTCTCCGGCCCGGGAAAGTAAAAGTGTCAAGTATTGTTCGTGCTTCGACAGCATATCGTTGCAATTAAAGTTACACCAGAACTCATGTAACAACCAGACAAACGAAACCGTTTGTTTACGCCGTGTGTCTGTGTGTGTGTGTGTGTGTGTGTGTGTGTGTGTGTGTGTGTGTGTGTGTGTGTGTGTGTGTGTGTGTTGGCGGAAACTTGCAACCTGTAGAATAAACGGCAAGACAGCCGCCGCCGCTCCACAATGGACTATTCGTCAAACTTCATGGCTGCAAACAATTTGGTTTGTTCATGTTTACTGTGTGTTAAGTTTTGATTATTATTGTTATACCTACGTGCTTGTCGAATGACTTAAACTGTGTAAACTTACTAGTACTTACTTAAATTATTTATACTATGTGCACTTTCTACGATTTCGTTAAATTATTATATCAGTGAACATTTAATTTTTTTATACGTTTCATAGAACAGGTAACATAATAGAATATCTTGAAGTATTTTTGAATTAGATCGTTAATAACCCTTGAAATTGAATTTATTATAAAGTCAAAAAAATTAAAAATATGCTTACGAATGATTTTTTTTTTTTTTGTTTTAGGAACAGAATATATTGTGTTCACCAAAATAAACATGAATAATAATAATTATAAATACTTAATTATATACCATATTCTTCAGATCTTACATCTCAAATAAATATCCATACAATAATCAAATTTATATAGATAGTCTTGTAAATGTAATAAAATGGTATAATTAATAGGCAAATAATTTAACTGTTATGTAAATAAACTGCCTATCGCGCATTTTATAGGCAGAACAATAAGAAATATAAACAGGAATCAGGAATTCCAAACCTTATAGATAACTCTAATACCTACATTTTTCAACCAATATAAAATTGTTTTGACTAAAAAATCGTTTTGCTATTGAAAAAGTCATGTTTTTAAGTATATCTAAAAATTAAAATGCAATTCAGAACACCACCCGCAAAACATATTAATATATACCTATTATAGGTTTGCTATTTTTTTTATTTTTTTACTATAAAGCTATAATATTATAGTATTATTGGTTATTATATTATTTATTATATCAAAACAAAAAGTGTAAGTGAGATTCAAACATAATCATGCTCAAAGTTTCAATAAGTCAAGTGCAGTGAACAATTTTATCGGCCCATTTTTTTTATGCAAACGGCCTATATACATAACTCGGGAGATTATGCAATTAATATGAGTGAACTGCATTGTGTAATATGGAACACGAGAAACCCTAATTATTTTTAGTTTTCGATCAATTATACTAGATAATATAGGTGATATAAGTCTTTGATGAATGTTAATAATAATACAATAATAATAATATACTTTGGCCAGTGTTAAAGATGTGAAAAATTCAAACAAAAAAAATAAGGAAAATTCAATACACTTTTTGAGTAACTAACTTATTTTCTATTGATCATTATACGGAGGCTCAGCTTGGACAGTTGTTTGGTCCTTACGAATCAATGCAAACCGGTAAGGGGCAGCAAATGCACACTCAGCTACCCACGTGCGCTCGCCTATGGTTTCAAGTTAAGGAATTTACTGAAGGATGTTTTGTGGAAATAAAACTCTTGTTTTCCAATTGATGATTCTTTTTTCCGCTATAAATTAATTAACCGATCATTTTTCTGAAAATGATGATGTATCAAAACCAAAATTAGAACTAGGTAATACTTTTTTAGTCGATAGTAGCTTCAGTTAAATTTAACTTTGTGTTTGGAAAATCTGAGCGAGTGAGATGCGCTTCCATTGTCTGCTTAAAAAAGAAGAAAAATTCATTTATTTAATTTATAATGCCAATTGGCAATATACCTAAGTGTTTTTTTTTTATAAGTGTAATAATATGGTAGGTACACTTTTATCTGTGTTTTAATAAATTAAAAATTAGAAAAAATAAATTATGAAATTAAAATATTTTGTTATTTAGGTAAGCATCTGCAATTTATGATGCAATATACTGGCACGGGTTTTCCTGCACCATTAATCATTATAGTGATTCTACAGTAGAAATGGTAAAGCGCAATAGGGAGAGGTCACCACGGTTTCACTAAACCAGCAGTTGGAAACGGTGGTGCTATTGAGGGATCATAAATACTTTTAGAAACAAATTTTTCGATAACATCAATAGCCAAAGTCTTATAAAGTTATAAGCAAAAATACGCAGTACCAGGTGCCCTAATAGTATTATGATAATTAATTCATAATATTATAAAATTATTTTAAGTTTTCTTTGTAGATACCTAAGTATACTAATTTACATCTGTAACAGTAATATTGTAAATAGAAACTCATTCTTTAATTTTTTGGTGCTAAAATCATTTTAAGAACTACCTATAATTTACAATAATATTTGTAGCTGATATTATTATAAACATATTAAATTAAATCGATAGTTATGAATTACTTATGGTAGTATTAACTATTATTACAATAATATGTATGTGTAACAAACGACGGCTAATAATTCATATCTTGTAGTAAATAAGGTGTCAGTACATGGCCGTGATCGTCTAGTGGTTAGGACCTTGCGTTGTGGCCGCAATAACCCAGGTTCGAATCCTGGTCACGGCACAAAATTTTTTGCGTTTTTAATAAAATATTTTAAGTCGCATTCGGTGTATAAATATATTTATATTAAATAATTGCAAAATAAAAACAAATAACAATACAATTTTTTTTAAAACTTAATACATAATAATTAATAATATAAAAGTCATATGAGATAGATGATAACAATAATATCATGATAAAAATGTTCACTTCATTTTTTTCGTCTATTAATGCTATTATAAAATAGACAATCGGGGGTTTAACCCCCCCCCCAAAAAAAAAAAAAAAATTATGTAGGACATACTGTAGGTAATTCAGTGTGAATAGTATGACGCTAATAAATATTTAAAATTTTTTCAAAACCCCCCGTAATTTTTTCCTGCTTTAGCCCCTATAAATTAATTACCACAAAACATTTGAATCATGAATGTTAATTAGTGATTACACATTTAGTATTTACCAACTAGGTATGTAAAATAATATAAAAAGTGTATGTGTAGATTGCGCTCGGCATGTTCGTCTCTATCGATCAGACTTAATTCCACAAATGATACAATTTAAATGCGATAAAGGTTAAGTTAGTAGTTTCGTAGTCGGGTATATAAGTATATTATACGTCTTTTTAGTTAAATTTAATTCAGCTAGATATTGAAGTTATCGGCAACAGTCGAATCGAAGCATTTGTATTTCGACTCGCAATCACCGACCGCCATTCCGTTCTCGATGGCTTCTTGCAATCTGATCAATGTTTTCTCGTACTTCGGGTCCAACGGTATCACACTGAAAATGTCAATATTGATGAAGTCTAAACATTAATATGTCATTAGTATTATTTAATTAATATGTTTAAATTGTGTAAGTAGGTATTAGGTATTGAAGATAATCTCAAGTGACGTCGCTGGCTCATTGTTGAGGATGATGGTGGGGGGGTGGGGATGAGAGAGCGAAAGAACATTCGAATACGATGTATTATTTTTAATGTAGGTCAAATCTTTAAGAAATCATTAACTCAAATATCAAGGGATGTATTATATATTATAGTATAGCATTATACAGTAAACTTATGGCGTAACTGATGGAAACAAGTGGGATTAGACCCCACCCAATTTTGTCATACAAATATAGTATTATAGTATAGGTACGATATTTATAATATTATCATTTGCTCGGGTAGTGCAACTTACCCGTCAAACATTTTCGCGGTTTTCCAGACCATTTCGGCGGTCCTGAGATAACTCTCCGCCCGCTCCGGTTGCTCGCACGCCACGCGGTTCAGACATTCGTGTCGGCCCGACTCGTCGGCGACCAAGTATCCGAGGAACAGCATCACGTCAGTTTCAGTAACCATGTCCTGGAACAGTCCCCCGACCGCGGTCGAGGTCGAATCCTCGTTTCGTGCTTCCTTAACACCACCACCATTTTGCATGTATGACACGCCCCATATCAGACCCCTGAGTACCAACATCAGTACTAAGTTCGACATGTTCAAGCTGAGCGACTATAAACAAAACGAACGTATGTCAACCGTATTTTATTAATTATCATATTATTATTATTGAGTCGTTTTAAAGTTATAACATGCATGATAGGTATTCATGAAACAACATAAATGTCGAGTATATAATTTATAAATAAATATATTTATATAATAAAGAGATCGTTATAAATAGGGCAGATGACGTCTTCTTCTATAACATTTGCTTATTTGTTATCGTACAAGATACCTATCATCAGAGAAATTAGTTTGTTTGGTGATAAGATAATAAAGCCAGACCGGAACATTTGTTTGTTTTATAATTAGATTCCTTGATGATATCAAGGCATATTATTTTATTTTCTGACTTATTGTACAAAAATATTGCATAGTATATTTGCAAATGTGTTAATGCGATTTGAATAATGCAATATTTCAAATATGAATGATTTAAATAATATTTAACTGAAATAGATACTTATTGTATTGCATTTGTTATTGCATTTGTTGATTCGTGATAGTATGTGCATATGGGTAATACTAAATTATTATTTCTTGTTTTTTTAAAAGCATAAGATATAAGTTATTAAATATTTTCTATTTATTAGCGCTTTCATGTATTATAAGTAGACCAGTTAAGAGTTGAGTCTTCTGCCCTATTATGGCTGATAAATATACAGGACAGATAATAGTCACATGCATAGGTAGTATAGTAAGACTGTAAGAGTAAAAAAAGTAATTTGAAGTTTGATTGTATACATAGATACTTCGTTGTGTCGTTTTTTGATTAATCGATTGAAAGCGGAAGTAAATAGCAGGCATATTATAAAAAGCAAACCCAAGTACAATTTTAGAAATAAGAATCCCGAAAAGTTTTCTGACAGGGTATTATATTATTATTTCTTTTAAATACTAGCCAAGATGTCGGGCAGATCACAAAATCCGTTGGCCATCTTGAAAAATTTACAGGGACTGGACAAAGTGGTCAGAGAGGACAATTTGCAGAAACCCCGGGATGATCTCTGGTATACATCACGATCTATACAGTAGTGGTTCTAAATGTATAATAATAATACGTTGCACATGTGTCAATTTTTCACAAAAAAATAAATAATCCTATTTTTGGTTTGTGTATTATATATATGCTCGCGAAAAATTAAATAAAATCCTATTGTTCAATATGTACTTGACCACTGGCCGCTGCCGTCTTGCCACCGATCAACGTCTTAGCGATGCCCATTAACACAGACTCCGGTTTTAAATCTCGCAGTTTACTCTCTTTCTGGTCGGCTTCGTAATCATCCCCTCGATGTTCGTCGATCGTGTGTCCCGAAATGGATCTCGTAACCAACAGCAGTAGACACACGAACCAGGTCACCAGCGTCGACATTGCCTGTGTAATTTAAATTATTATAAAAAACTATGTTTTTATTTATTCGCTTATATACTTGACTACATTTATTTAAATTTCATTTTGTATACTGCAGGTATCTAAATTAAATTCAATACTTTAAAAATATATTTAAAAATAATGGTTTTATTATTCTTAAATTCTTTTATATACCTAATTATAGTATAACCTAAAATATATTGATATCATCTTTTTTCAGCTACTAAACTATTAGTACATCTAATAAGAAAACGTCAAACCTTAACTCTACACGAAAATACGGTATTATAATATGGTGTACTCACTATTGTCATAATATGGTACAATAATATTGTTGTATCCGTAATGTTGCAGTAGAATTTAAAAATAACTATTATAGTGTAAATGTGTAATGGACTAATGGAATACAAGCAGCAGCAGCCTGATATTCTCGCAATCGTCTTCGGTGCGCGAATGACAGGTGATGCTGAGCGAAGGGCTGATTTTGAGAAGTCGCCGATCGACAAAGTAAAAGCGTCGCATAGACATACTTATTGTTTGTGTTTGAATAGCATATCGTTGTACTATTAACATATTATTATTTATTACTACAACACATCAGACGCTCAGAATTGTTTGTTTTCGAACACAGTAAGGTTTCGATCGTCATACACTAGTAACAGATATTTTTGTAGACTCACGATTCACGAGCTGAAACGAAATAGTTTTGTTTAAAAGTTTAAAATGTATTAAAATGCTTTCGCTGTACAAATTATTCGCTACACATGCTTAACTATTTTTATCTATAGCTATAAATTATATCCAAATATAAATTATTTTCTATTGCAACTTATAATTATTATATGCATTTAGCATTTTACAATAATTGTTGTACAATGTCTTATACGAAAGTCTCAAACAGAGATATATTAAAAACGACTAGCATAACTTGACGGTTGATTTAAATTTAAATATTTCGATGTAGTTTTTAAGTCTATTAGTAACAAGATTAGTGTTTTTGAGTTCACGTTCAAAAATAGTAATAAAACTTAATTTTCAACTTAACTGATATTTATTGATATAAACTTAATAATTAACGAGTTACTTTGAATCAAATCCAAGTTACGGTAGTAATTTATAAATAATCAAATAATAAATATAATACATTTATTATTTTTTTTTCTTATCTCAGTTAAGCTTCAACAGATGTTATTAGCCATACAAGAGTATTATACTTTTACATTATTTTATGTTATTGCATAATTCAATTTTTTTTTAGATATACAATTGTGTGTTGACAGTTTAAAAATGGACCAACTGCTTTATACTGCAGGTTGTCAAGGACAATACAATTATTATTGATTATGCATATTGCATAAACATTTACTTTTTATCACTTTCAACCATATTACTGATTTAAATATGTTTAAAAAAAACAAATAAATAACTTATGTTGATAATTTAATCGTAAGTTTCCATACAACTAAAAACTTCACCGAGTTAAAAAAAAATAAGGATAACTGTTAATCTTATATAAACTTTTTAAAATGTTATATATCAATTTAACTAAACTAAGTTAAAAATCATCATTAATTTGGCCAAACTTTCTGTTATTCAAATCATAATTGCTTGAGTATTTACTATACAAATCTATGTCCAATGGAATTTCTTTAATGGTACTATTTCGATTGGTAAATGTAAGTTGCGTCATTTCAATCGGAATGGTATAGTAGTTATTTTTAGTTGACAATAATCTGCATGCCAATCTTAACTGTTGTTTAATCCATAATGTTTATGGTATCATTTGAATCATCTTGATTCCCAACATTGGCAATGCAGGGTTGAACCGTTGGACCACGATTAAATTCCCTGTTAATTTCGTGTTCATGAGTTGTCTTGAGATCATTCACATTTTATACGTAATAAACAATTATAGTTAAAGATTACCTTGATTATAATTTGTATTAGGTAGATATAAAAATCTATGCTATAGCAATTGACAATGTGAAAACTACAAATTAAGTTTTTATTAATAAATATTGGATATATGTTGATATACCAATTTCAATATATCATACTTCATACATTTCTAATAAATGTTTTAATTAATATTTGGATAAATATATTGCAAAATTGCCATTGGCACATGAATATATGTACGTACGAATAATGAAGCCAGTGATAATAAAATATATATTATAGATAATTGTAGTCCTTTTAAATATTAATATAAGTGCTTAATTGTATAGCTATTTCAACCATATTTTTTAGTTAATTTAAGTATTAAAAATTGCAGGAACTATAAAATATAATTAAATCATTAAAGTTATTTTAAATTTTTACCTATAAAATGGTTATATATACTTTATTTGGTTTAACTATTATATTTAAGTCATTCTTTTTTTAGTGCATTTATTATAATCTATGAAATTATAAATTACTAGTAATTTTCTACGAATGGATCTTCGCAGGTAAAAACTATTATCAAAAAAAAATGTCTTATAATTTGCCTATATAGAACTCCGTAAAATCGTTATTTTTCCACCCTCCTAAATTTGTACAATTGAATATTGCCCAACAAGTTATCTTTAGTTATTCAATACGCATACAAATAAAATAATAAAAACAATCATATACACTCTTTTTTTTTACCTATGTGTAGGTTTGAATCATTTTGTAAATATTGTCCAAAAAATACTTATTTATTTTTACATTCATACGAAAATACTTAAATACTGAATACATAGGTAATATAAATATATTATACATGTGCTAAATTGTATTATAAACGATGTAAGAGCTACGCGCTGTAGCGTTTTGATTTAACTCGATAATATTATTTACAACTATATAAGTATAATTTGAATTATTTAACTTCTATGTACTCAAATTGCCTATTTTACAATTTACAGGAGCAAATTAACAAAATGTATTTATGAACATTTTATGCTTACGAATGAGTTTTTCATATATAACCAAAGTAGTAGCAGTATTAATTCATAGGTTAGGAAATAACCACCTATCAATAAGTATTTGAAACATTAGAGTATTAGACAAAACGTATCGATATCCGATTGTTTCATCTATACTAATGTATTTGAACATTTTGAACATTAACTTGTCCGACCGCTCCGTATTGGCGACTTGCATTATACCACAGACGGAAAAAAACATTTATGGTTATTTTCCAACGCTTCAACCAGCATCGAAAATTACAGTTTCTGAGGAGTGATGAAAAGTACATTTTTACTCAAAAACATTAATTTTATAATTAAGCATTTGATTAACTAGATTATTATCTTTATCTTTATTATGCAAACTTAGATGATACACACCGCTTGAAAATGAGTGTTCATGGAAGTAAATACGTAAACAATTCCTAAGTCATAGTTTTATAATATTTTTTTTTTAATTATAAATAATAGTAACTAAACACTTTTCTAAAAATTGAAGCTGTTACATTTTTAGTACACTTTAAAAAAATTATAATTGCAAAAAATATTTCTGAGTTGTTTATTTAAACGAGAACATATGTAGAGTATTTTATAGTTGTTTTTTAGGTACCTACCTAACAAACTGTAAAATAATAGGTGATTATTTTTAACTTAATATTAAATATAACTCAGAAAACCTCACAATAAATTATATTTTTCAATACATTTTTACTAATCTATTTTGATCCGTAAATCAACAAGACGTTTGCAGATCCATCATGCAGCAGTTTTTTAAAAACCTATAAATGTCAATTTTTACGATTTTAATTAATTTTAATTAATCAGTCGTTAAAAATCAAAATAAATTTCAATACGTTTAATATATCATTAATAATTATTATGATACGTCATAGGTTCCTCACACATTACAGCAGTTACTTTCCGTAAAATTATTCTAAAAAAAATAAAATTGCGGTGCGCGGCGTTGCACTAAATCGTGTCCGACTGCATTTTAACACTATCGCCAAGGACGTCAAGGGTGTGTGGAATCCTTTAACTTTTAAGGACCCTTAACATATTGTTTACCACATACTTTATAACCATTCTGTTTTTCTGACAATGATAATTAGTCACAAAATGTGGTACAGTATGTACAAAACCGCACCTTAAATTAATTTCGTTTTAGCCAAAACTGTAATCTCACTATTTTATGGAGATGTTACATTTTACGACAACACAATTGGCTTAGGTACCTATGTAATCTAGAAACAAAATAGGTATGGTGTTAACATTATATTATAATACTAATCATATTCATAAAGAAAAGTCATAAGACTATAACATTAAGACATTATATACATTTCTACGGTACCTACTTATATAATGTCTATAATATACTGAGTATGTGTTAATTCTATTTCAAACTATATGGAGTCTGCCACTCTCGTTTTTCATCTCCATAGAGAAATATAATCCAGCACTTATGTTCAAATAATATTGATTCTAAGAAAAAAATATATTCTATTCAGGAAATAATCTTCTCGGGAAATATTTTAATCGTAAAATATACGCTTATTTCTAAAATTATAAACTTATAAATAACTAATAGGTAATGTACTTATAAACTAAGGACCTACATTTTCACTTACAAATGGTAACAATTAAATTATTCTGTATACCTATCCTAACCTAACTATTGAATTGTGCTGAGTCACAAACTCACAATAAAGTTTCAGATAATTTTTTTACTACCAAGAACCAACTTGTGGCTATAATAAGGGCTAAGTATAAATACTTGTAGACTATTTTCTAAATACACTTTAAATAATATATTTTGATTCTTAAATGTCATTTTTTATAAATATTCAATACAAAATATGTTTATTAAATTTAGTGGTTATATAATAAGTCGATTAAGTCGTATTGGTAATGTTATAGGTTAATACACCTAATAAATATCTTAGGTAGAGATACTCTCGAATTTTGATGGAAATCAAGAAATTAATTATATCTTTTTACTAATATTTATAAATTATATACTTACATAAATAATCTAAACGTCTAATTTCTTAACATTTTCTAATTTCCATAAATTAATCGTTTAAATACTAGTAAACATAATTTTTCATTTCATTGATGTTTTAATGCAATTAAGGAAAAGTGAAAGTAAAAAGTAAATTTATATCTTTTCCACAGAAACCAATGAATTTTTACATTAAAAGAATATTATTATTAGTCATGTAGTAATAAAAAACATGAAATTACTTAAATCTAGGTATAATTAATAATGACACGTTCTTAAAAATACAAGACGGTAGACACCCTTTGACGTAACTAGTTTTAACCAGTGATTTCTATACTGTTAAATTATTTCAGGTTTTTATTTAGTCGCGACGTATAAAAATATAAAACTCTTTTATTTATATGGCCCTCTCGTCATAAGTACTACTGTTGGGTAGTTACTTAAACTCATGTAAATTTACGTAAAAAAAACACATGAACACCGCATATATGCTTATTGTAAATTACCCTGACAGATTGTATATTTTCCAAATAAAGGTTAAAAAAAATGTATGCGGAAAAAACCCAAATAAATAAAACCACTGAACATAATACATATATTTAGATTATATTTACTTGTGAGGGGAATAATGTGCGTTTTCCTTCCTAGACAGAAAATAATAACAAAATATGTGTATACAATTAAATGAGTGTATTAAGTATTTAAAAATAATTACTGTATACAATAGTACATACATGACAATGTTACGTCAGATATATACATATTCTGTTCCACTGCAGAGACAATAAAAATAATTACATAAAGAAAGTGAATTATGCACATTAAGATGTTACACTGTTATTATTATACTATAACACGAGCCTGGGTTGTACACTCTTCCGTGTCTTGAGTATGAACAATGTGCACGGGCTTCTAGAAATATTATAAAATGTCGTCGTTTGTCTCATTTGAATTCGATGCTCGACAATGTAAAGGAGTATAACACGAATCCAAACACTCAAATAGGTAATACGTTATTATTATTTGGGAATATGGAAAAAGTAAGTAGAATGTTGTAAAGCTATATTATATTGATCGATATTGAATGCGATGTGGGTAATTTGTAATATATACCCATAATGTATGGTTTTAGGTTATATTTTTGATATTGATGTTCGTCTGCTATTCCCATCAGAGGCCACAGCTCGAAGAAGACGTATTGACCACAACAGAGACGACCGACACTACTACTGAAGAGCTCAAGAGCTTGGAAAAAATTTCAGTAGTAACCCAAGCCACTGCAGTGTCGGTTCATACTTCCGTTAACTTTTCGTCGTACAAGCCGAGCGAGGTTTTCGAAGACTTTAAGCCCAGCAACTATTACAGACCCGACGGTAACCCTATATTTGAAAGGCCGAGTCCAGAAGTCGCTAACCAAGTTTTCCTGAAACCTCAATACTTTGTAAAGCCGGATAATCAAACAAACCGATCGTCACCGAAACCCAGTGACAATAATGTAGTTTTCCCCCAAGCGACCCAAGAACATTACTCCCAATATTCGCAGTACGACGACCGATCTAACGGACCGGAGTCTAGAGGTCCGTATAAGTTCACCGAAGTCTCACCTCGGCAGCAGTTCAAGCCGATGAAACACGATTTCGGTGGGACGCTGCCCATCGGTGCTTACGACAACAACTATTACGAAAGGCATTTTGGAAAGTATCACGTGAAAGAGATGTCGCATTATCCAGACATAATACACGAACCACCAAAAGTCTATCATCACAGCGTCACGACTGCTCATAAAAAAGATCCCTGGAAGAGCATGCTTAAGGTGTTGGCCACTATCCTGCCGGTTGGCCTGTTGCTTGCTTCCTTCCCACCGACTGTCATCAAAGTAAATTCCACGCAATACCCTTATCAGTGAGTAAATACATTAGATTTCGTTAGATAGAAGCGAATTGTTAGGTAGCAAAAAAACAAAAAATTGCATTAATGAATATAGTATATAGTATGCAGGAATCGGGAATTTATGAGAATTATAATATGTTTGTAATATACCTTTTTTTATATTGATCATAATAATAATAATTGACATTGACAAAATGGCCATTTGTAATAAGTAATAACGTATAAGTTATACAACTAATTTATGCCACATTTTTTTATTAAACAAATACAATCAAACAATATAGGTTATTATATTAAACATCATAAAATTGACTCCTTTGATTCGTTCTGGTGCTGTGTCGATGTTATTCAGTATGTTGTAACTGCTGGTGAGGCCGTCGGTGTATTAGCTGATTTATGTTATAATGTGTTTGACTGTGAGTATCTATTCACAAGTATTATTATACATTGGTTGGTCATTTTTCGTCAATAGGTATCTATGATTTTAGTCTTCTACGACTAATGCAGATAATGTACATTTTCTTATTGTCTTTTTTCTTTTCTATAATTTATCTTAATTTTGAATTCTGTTTATGACATTGAGTTTTCCATTTGATTTTAATTTTTAACTTCATGGACTTTTTATTTGGATTTTTGTATCTATAAAGCTTATAATATTCAGACCATGACGGGTTTATGATCCTATCTGTTTTCTGTCTTCACTTTTTTTTTTCGTTTCTTTCTATGTTGATTTGGTCAGGTATCCTAATGAAAGAGATATTCTTTTTATTATTATCTATGCGTGTTTCGAATGATTTTTCTGGAATAATTCTTACGATATTTGCTGTAAATATTTTTGGTATTTTTTAAAACTTTTTGGTGTGCCGAATGAGTTAAGATCGTAGATTTGAGATTCAAATATTTAATACTTTAAGTTTTCAAGAAGATGACGTGTTAATAGGTTTTTTGTAAAGCCATAAATTGTCCACTGTATATAGTTTGACTAGTGAAAATATAGCATAAACTAGGTAATTATTAATATTCCTAATAGTTATTATTTAATTAAAACGTTTCAAACTTTGCTAAGAGATAAAAAAATTAATTAATTGTCTCCGATACTTGTACCTAGTATATTAATAAAGTAATAACATACTCCAACTATCCGATTTTGTATTTAGATACTTTTCGGGAAAACCTTTCCCAAACCTGTCTGATAAATAAAAATACTACAGTATGACGATTGGCGACAACGGCACGACTTGCATAGAACTCCCCTTTGAAAATTCGGGTCCTCTGTGCCCTTTTCCTCGTGCGTTGCGATTTTCGTTCCATAGATATATAGGACATAGGTATGTTTTGTGAGTAATATCGTTCTCCTGTGGAAAGCGGTACTCGACAACCTAACCAAACCTAACAACTTAACCGCATCTCGAGCAATAGCCGGTATAGGCTCCATTTTTACTTATTCTATGTCTTACTACTCTGTCATCATTGGTATTTAATACATCTATATATATCGTTATATTCAACCCAATACTTACAATACACGACGTATACACGGGGCCCGCGGTTCCGATATGAGGAACGGGGAGGGGAAAGGGGAAATCTAGGTACTAGGTGGTCATAGCGGAATCGCTGCACCCGGTGAAAAGTGCGTCCTTATACGGTAGATCGCACAGCCCGACGACGACGACCGAGTAAACCGTTCTCTCTAATCGGGAGACTCCGCGCGACGCCGACGTTTCGCGCGGGTGAAAGCGTCTCGGCAGTCGCGGTATTACGCGTATATAAATATATATATATATGTAATATTCACACACGACGAGCTGACGACGATAACATAACACACCGCAGCACCCGTAGTCCGCACATGGAGCTTCTCCTTTCGTATGAATGCTTGGTGTGCATTAGTGCGTGCGTGCGTGCGTGCGTGCGTGCGTGTGTGTGTGTGTGTGTGTGTGTGTGTGTGTGTGTGTGTGTGTGTGTGCACGCGCGGTATGGTTGGTGGGATTACGCTGTCATACAGATGGGATTTGAAAAAAAACGACAAAATAATACTCGTCAGTCTATACGTATAATATACCGAGAAGCGAGTCAACCGCACACAATATATTATAATATGGTATATATAGGTACACACGTCATACAATAATAATCGTTGCCTTTCAACTGTCATATATACGGTGATTCATCAAGCATACTCGCCCCCGGTTTTTCTATTAATAATGAATTTACTCAAACTGATTTTTGGAATTTTTAGATAAAATATCATTCTCAAAATTCTTGAGATTTTTCTGTACAACCAGCTATGAAGAATAGACTCTGTGGGGATACTACTTTTATCTTAAAAATTAGAACCTCTCCTCCCTCCATCTTCAATGTAAACTATTTAGAAAATTTTTAAATATTGTTGCAAAATTTGGTCAAGTATAGTTTCTCAGTTATTAAAATACATAAGGATAAGTCTTTAAAAATGGTTTTACACAAATATAAAATGGGTGTGATATTAGATCTAGTATTTATTATACTTGAACCATTTTTGTAAATTACAAATAATGTTGATAAATCAATATTAATTACTAAAATTTTCAAATCATCATAGTTAAAATCTATTTTCCAAACCCATTGTCATGAAGCTATAATCCTTGTTGAATTAATCAAAAAAGCAGTACAAAAATCTCAGGAGTTTTCAAATGTGGTCTGTTAGTAGGTATATTAAAAAATCATAAAAATTAAATTTCGAATAACTATATTATTGACAGAAAAAATAGGGCGACGATGCTTAGTGAATCACCCAGTATAGTGTACATACTCGCGTGCACACTGATGCGGGTCTCGTGGCTACGGCTGCCGCGCCCTGTAGAGAAATCTTCGGTTGCACAAAGGTCATCGCTGTAACTTACTGCAGACATTCGTATTTCGTAGTTTCATTTGTATACTTATTTCATGTCGCGAGTTTACTATTATTATTATTATTATTATTATTATTACTATTTTTATTAATTAATATTATTTTTCATCTCGTTAGCACTTGTTGTGTATATGCCATGTGCTCATATTATGTAGATGCTCTACCGAGTAAACTTGTTCGACGGTCGATGTTATTATATTAGACATCCATAATAATTCAGCTATTCGAATAACGTGCTCATGCCGCGCGCGTGCACTTGTCCAGAGATATTTTTTTATCGAACTATGCGTCTTTAAAAAGTGAAAACGACTAATTAGACACGTTTTTTGGAAATATTTCTAAAATTGGATGAACACCAACCGCATTTCTTGCTGCAGCTGTGCAGCGGTGCAGCTACATATTATAATACACACATAGCTTAGATTAGAGTAATATTCAAGTTCGCTACAAGATCCTTCTGATACGTAATTAGAGCGCATAGATATTATATAGTTGATACGATTATTTTCCACGCTCCAGCGTATTTTAAGTTTATACGCAGACTAATCATCTTTGTCTGATCAACCTCCTGTATGCGGTCATGGCTCGTGGCCATGGTTAAACGTTTCAATTCAGAAAAGTTCAGAGCTGTTATTTGTTTATTATATTATTACCTATACGTTTTAAATAGTAATATATTTGTATTTTATTCTTTTTACATATAGGTTCCAAAAGAATTCGACGGTATACCATCCAAATGTTATTACTGGAAGGTATAGGGCGTTGAGAAAGATGGACACGGAATGGAAAACAAATGGGGAAGACAAATTGCCCGGATACTTGAACGATTGTTTGAAAAAGAAAATATGCAACACCTTAAAGAGCAACTATTCTCATAGTGAATTGGAAACTCTACAGCAAAACTATAAACTAAAGTAAGATTATTTAAACGGTTTTAAATTGCTTAGACACCAACCGACTACGATGTACCTAAATAATATTGTTACCGTCGATTACGAAAATGTACGAAACAGTCTATGACATTAGAGCGCATGCATATTATTACACAGTATGTATGGTGTGTTATGTTACCAATTATCAACTGAATCACAATTTTAATACATATAGTACACTACTTACAACTTATTAATATAGTACCCCTGTAAATAATTGATAACTGTTTATTAAAAATGTATTGACCTGCAGTAGGTATACTATTAATACAAAATAATAATTATGATCATTTTGATTAAGTGATACTTGCAAAAACCTCTCATAATAATAATAATAGGTGTATAATCAAATAGGTGTAAATAAATTGGGTAGGTACCAAGTACCTACTAAGATACCTACTTTATTTTAAACGATTTAACGTATTATTACCATTGATCTGCGTAATTGAATTAAAACAGAAATATTATACGTCTTGAATAATAATTTTGCGATGATGGGCGACCATGTTTTCTCGATTTTCATGTCTGAAGTTATCTGTGGAATACTGAGGGCTCACACTCTCATCTGCTTAATAATATGTTGTTTTCATTTCACGTAAAAAATTACAAATTTGATCAAATATTTTGTTGTTAGCTTTAATATTAGGGTGAATCAGCTTATATAGAATACTATTTGTATTTTTATTCGGCTTTTTACGATATTTGAGATATTTATTTTACGAGTTACAAGCATTCTCAAATATTTTACATATTCATAACTCGCCTGAAAATTTAAACACGGTAAAAACCGAAGCACAAACATAGATTATGTTCTTACTTTTAAATTATATGATAAGTAAATTTACTATTGCAATGAAGCTAACTACGCAAAATTAGTTCGACTAAATTTGTAAATTTGATTTTGTGCTGTACGGAGCAACATATTTGCGGGTGTGGCGTGCTCTTAATATAGGTAAACACATCATTAGTATAAAGTTATGGGCTCATATCATTGTCTTATTCTTTTCAGCTGGACCACGGACAATGGCCCGACGATGGTCGAAATCGCAAAAGCAGCCGCGTCTGCAGAGCCGGAATCGTGTCAAGTATTCGTTTGCAGTGATTGAACAAGCTGGGCGTCGCTGTAGCGTTCAAGTGTCGTTATGTATAATAATGTATAGTATATACATATTTTATTATACTATATAGATAATGTCTGAAATAATAATAATAATAATAATAATAATAATAATTTAATATACCTGGTAGCTTGTGTATGTATAGGTACATTTTTATAATATCAACACGGTAACCACAATTTTTATGTGTACCGATCAGACCGCGAGAATTCCATTAATGCGCGGAATGCAGACACGTTTTAATGGCTGGGTATCGGAAGTTGACTTGGCCCTGGGCGAACTTTCGTTCTACGATAGCCATAAATAAATAATAATAATAATAACAAACCAAAACTGCTGGATGATTTTCGTCTAAGAATGTGGTTGATGACACATTCTTACTTTACGGATATCGCTTTCTTTTGTGGCTTTTGAAGCGATCCCCGTGGACGAATAGACATCATACGATTAATATTACACATATACTTGGATTAAATAAATAAGTATGGTTTGATAATACATTTATAATATACTCTAATCAACGGTAGATAAGTACAATATTTTCTACTATAAAATTTAAACCGGATGAAAATTCAAAAGTCGCGGTTTCCACACTGTTACATATATTATATGATTTGGCAGAAATCGATCATTTATTACACTGTATTGTCTATAGATTATATTATGCTATTATCTTGTACCTATAGACGTAAAATATTGTGTATGATTTTTGCACTATTATATACATTTTTTTCGTGCTAAAGCATATTAAGGCTGTTATTAATACAGAATATGTATGGAGAAATACTCAACTCTAGGTTAACTAACTCTAAATTATCGACGAAAAAACAATAGCATCATTCAGCATTGCCATCAAACTGTCATAAGATTAAATATTTTCTTGTAAACTATCAAGATCGTCTCTAACTGTATCATTGTCTAATCAAAATATAATTGCTTATTTACGCTGCTATAGTAAAATTATTATGACACAATGTCCAATCCAAATTCTTAGCCAAATAATATTTACTTGACACAAATTTCAATATAGGTATTGATAACACTAAAAGTCACATAACGCAATGTGGTTGTTGCAGTATACATATTCATTATGCAGCACATAAATTCGATTTCGTCCGTCGAGTGATTCGATAAAACATCTAACGGAGTATAACGTATTTAATGTAAGGGGCGAGGAAAAGTAAAACCGAAGAGCAGCGTGTGCAGACACGCTTAACTGCGAAATTAAATAACTCTCCAGCGATTATACATTCCTCTCTCTTCAGACGTTGTAGATTTAGCGTTATGATTTAATATTTTGTATAATACGTAGTGCGTACAATGTGTATGCAAGTGAATATTAAGGTCGACGTTAAACTTTTTAGAATGTTTTTAATAAAACGTTTAATACCTATTCACCAAAATGTATACGTCGTCTCATCATCCTATTATTCTAGATTAAAAATTATATTTTTTTACTAACCACGAGTCTTTAATTATGCATTTTAATTTATAAAACATACCTATTTTGAAAGTTTTAAAATAATACTTAGTAGTTAGTATATCTGCGTTAATCGTACTACCCATGTCCAATAGTAATATAATACTTAACTAATAGCAGTACATCCCTTTTTACACAAAGTATTTGATTAGGTTATACAAATTATCTAACGACGGAATAAAAAATTATTTTGTGAATTTATTATATTTTTAATCTTAGCATAGTAAAAAATAATATCATACGTATTAGTTAAAACTGGTATTGGTTTTTAAAAAATATTTTTTTTAATAAAATAAGTAAAGTATATAATTTATAACATTTTTTAAGTACATCTACTGATCAAAATTGAATAAGGATACTTAATTTTATTTTACAGAGGTCAGTTACCTGCATCTTTAGTTATTATAAATAAATGTAGGAAAAAACATCGAACATCGAGGGAAAATAAGAAAAAGTTGAGCAGGATATACAGAAAGTAAACACACGTCTCGCTTCAATCATTTTGGTGAAAAATGGTGTTTCGATATTATTTTTAATATTTGAAAGTAATGAAAATCATCGCATTCGAAAAACAATAATCTGTTTAAATTGAAAACCTAACGTTGTGCGTTCCATTAATTTTTTAATAGTCAATGCTCTGACTTAGAAAAACAGTTGATGTACATCCTTGCAAAGCCTATACATTTCATTTTTACTCATAATTTAAAATATTGAACAAATTTAATTTATTTAATGATAAATATTATGCTCTCAAATATAGAAGAGAGATAGTGATAAGAGTGGCTACTATAATGACTATATATTTAGTCAGTGCTAAACTCCGGTAACTCGGATCTCCGTCACGTCCTGCCTATAATATTTTCTTGTCGGCCATAATATTGTTTATGTATTTCTGTTTCTAGAAATGGGTATTATAGTGATTTCTTCATTTACATATAGTCTCCTTCGACAGTTCAAGAATAGATACCCGTAATAAGACCTCTAAGATCATGATTTAATTTATTACGGAATGCCTTCAATGTAATAAAGTTAAAGATAGTCTTGAACTAACGTCATTTGTCCTTTGTCAATATATTAATTTAGGTCGCTAAGAACGATCACGTGGATGAAAAGAGCATAATATGTATAAATACATTTGTTAGGGTAGGTACTAGGTATCTTATAATCTAAACTATATTGATTTGTATTTTATAGATTACAAGTTGTTAATTTTGTAATATTCTGTAAAGTCTTTTCATTTAGTTTTACATTTTACCATTGTTATATGAATGGTTATGTATTACATACCATTATACCAAAACTGATGGATTCTAGAAACAACTTTCTGAATATAATTATCTTAAATACCTACTTTATTATTCTTAATTATTTTTCGAAGAAATTCCTACAATGAAAACGTTATGTATAAAATGCGATATAAGATATTATTTGATTTTTTTTCTCACTCTTTCATGTAAAATAAGTTAAAAGTATGTTAATTTTTAAAGGTCAACTACTTTTTAACTTACAAAATATGCGAAAAATATTATGAACACAGACAGGCGAAAAACACGCGAGTTTTAATTTTTACTAACTATCTGGTTCATAATAATTATTTTAACAGCACAATCAATTATTAAATACCATCTATTGTAGTTATTAGAATAAATTATATACATAGGTAGTAGGTACCTAACGTGACTTAATTTAAATTTGTATGTTAATACTTTAGACACCGTCAATAATATACTTGAATTATAAAACAAATTCACCAACTCGGTAAAGCACGATTCCGTACGTTTTACCTTTTTGGGAACACGATTCCGTACGATTTTGATCAAACAATTATTTGTCAAAATTACTCCAAAAACAACACGATTACGTACGATTTTCTGTGCAATGTTGCCATCTATTATTATTGTAAGTTTTTATTGATTTTCTCGAATAATAACGTAATAAAAAAAGTTAAAAAGTTAAACATTTGTCAATTTGTACAAAAAATAAAATAAAATAAAATAGTTTAAAAATAATTATAATTTGATACCTGGGCAGTTATTAAAAATACTTGATAAATATTTTATTTTTATGTTTATTCGTTATATTCGTTGATTGTGTCATCTAAACGTTGTTTGTCGTTTGAGGCGGAAGAACACTGCGACCAGCCCTCAAAATCTGATAGTCTCTTTGGACCCTCGCTAATAGTGTAAGAGGACGTCAGTGAACTATTTATTTTTTCTCTCTGACTCTTGTGCAAAAATCTAATTGTTAGTTCAATATATTATACTACAGATAATGTTGAAGCAGATAATCAATAATTTATGACGATTTTGAAAGCAATATTAGTTATGAGATGCACGCATTAATTATCATCATAATTTATTAATTATTTTTCTATAGCTTATGTATGAAAAATAAACTTTTGTGGTAAATACAAATAATACAAAATAATGAATTCGTTTTTAAAGTATTTAAAATTTTAAATCCTATTTTAACTTTGGTTATGTTATTATGATTGTCATATTTTTTCATGTAAGGTAACACGTAACTTATTTCTATGTTGTGCGCGCATGCAACCCATCGAACTTTTTTATATCATGATTTAAATCTGATTTGAGTAATTTAAGGAATTCATAAGCTATTTGGCTACTGGCCGTCTTGGAATTTCGCTGGAGGTGGTGCAATAACTTTCTACAAGTTGCAAAATCATAGAGATCATCATTATTTAACTTGCTGTAGATATGCACACGATTAAAGCTTATTGTTTGATTCATGTTTTTTTTGAAGCATACGTAGTTTAAATTTGCTTTTTTAAAAAGTTTTAACCAAAACCAAAAATAAGTTATGAAAATTGAATTTTATTTTAGTCCGATATTTTAAGTAAATATTTTTTTTAACCTTTTGTGCATATTTTTTTCAACAATTTGTTTTTTAATGTTTTTAGTTATAGTATTATATAGATTGTCTATCGATTAGTTGAGTTTTTTGGTCGGCATGAGAATTCAATTGTAATATAATTATAAAAATAGAGAGTACAATTTGTCAGTTTTTCAAATTCAAATGTATGAATCAAGTAAATTAAATCATCGCAATCATAAGAAACAAAAAATCAATTTTTGTTAATTTCCTTAAAAAGGTAGTATAAAATAAAAATTAAATATTATATTATTAATTGTTAGAGATTGTTCGTTCGCAATGATAATAATAAAATAGTTAGGTATATTATATAGACATTCAGTTATAATATGTTTAATGCACGGCAATATTGCAACATTTGTTGAAAACACAGAATAAAGAGTTAATAATTTAATATGTTGACTATAATGTGCCTACTCAATAATTCCATCATAATCTTCAATGTTGATTGTAAATACTTATAATTGCATCTATGTAACATTATGTTAACGATAAGTGCTCATTAGTCATTAACCGACGAATCTATGTTCATGTACAAAACGGCTTCTCATTGGCTTTTTAGGCAAGTAAATTTCTTTTAAACCATGATGGTTTCCTAATTCCTCTTTCAGCTTTCTTCAATCTCCAAATGATATAATAAGGTAAACTAATTAATTAACTAACTTCCATAAGATTTATAATATTTGTATAAATATTGAAATAACTATTATGATATTTTAAATATAAATATTAAAAAAGTTAACAATATTTGAACTGTACATTGATATAAAATCCATTTATCAAACGAGAAAATTATTATTCCAATAAACGATTGCATTTGGCCCATACTTAATGGCATGGGAAAATCGGTGACAAAAATATGCGGTATAACCCGAAATCTCGTGACTATAGAGTATAGACATTGATTAACTGACTTTCCAATTACACAACACCTACTCATACGAACTCGAAATATTAATTTAAGATTCATTAGTTATTTATATAATATTACATTTGATATATCATTAAAGGAATAAGTATATTCTTTCAAATTTGTTGTGCCTATTTTTTATATTTTGTAATTAAATTATATCCTTCTTCAATTCTTATTGGTCTTTTAAATTTTAAAATTACCCATACTATATTGTTGATATAGTAATTAATAATAAGTGTTCAATATATTGTCAAATTAAAATAGGAGAAAAAACAGAATGCGAATTGGGCACTCATCGTTGACTCACCAACACCTGATGAAGAGGGAAGACCCCCCTATCTGCACAAGCTGCGGCACCCAGCTCACAATCAAACATATCATCACAGAATGCCGCCAATTTGACAGAGAAAAACAGGAAGCAGGAGTACCCCTCATTCTCGCCNAAAATAGGAGAAAAACAATCACACAATAATAACTAAGTATCAAATTATAATAATTTGAGTAGTTTGTTTTTATTAGTTATAGTCTGTAGACGCCTTATATGACTCTGTAAGTACTTATCTTATAAAATAACAAATGAGAGAAAGTATTTCTAGAAATTGTTTACAAATAATATTTCAGTTATTGGCATAGTATTAGAACTTACTAGAATAATTTATAAAATTCCATTATTATCTAATACAAATTAGTATTATATTATAAATATGTACCTAAACTTAATATTATGTAATATCATCATAGCAGAACTATACAAAGAGTCTTACAACTATTAGCACATTCATCTTTATGCAGACATGCAGTAATAAATAAACAAATAACAAATTTAGGGCGATTAACAAGGCGAGGGACGACTGTTTAAATGTATGATCAGTAATCATATGCGTATAAAAATCCTATAAATCTACCTATAAAAATAGATATTATGTATTGTATAGTTTCTCAAAACTACTATAAAAATAGTGCATTTTGATATTATACCCTATAGTTGTTTGTATTACATTGAAAATTTAGCTTTCACGTGTTTACAAATGATTCAACAGAAGTGTGAATGCACTATATGTAGGCCTTACAAGTTTACATGCTATAAACAATGATACACGTGCACACATAGTCACACATTCACTCAACTACGCGCACTTTGTAAGTAGTTTTATGTG